TTTAATGTCACTTTGATCTTCAATTTGTGGACACATACAATCTGTGGTGGATTTTACTTGAGTAATAATCTTTCTACCACAGAGTCTTTATTGAAGCCTGTTGTGTTGCTGTGAGTTGTACACTGTAACAAATAACTAACATGCCTCTAGTGTTCTGTTTTGTGGAGATTGCTGAGATGTTATTTTATATAGACTCACTTCTGTTGTATATTCTCAGGCGGCACTTTGCTGTAGTGTTGGATTCTTGTATATTTAAGAATTTCCATTAAGTTTTGTCGTAGATCACATGTCACAGTAGGGAGAACACAGGGGTAAATAAAATATAAAAACACCTCTGTCAAGACCAAACAGTCCCCTCATACCACCACAATTAAATTCACTGGATCCAGAGTTTTATTTGGATCTGCACCAAATTACACACACTCGTAAATCTTAGTACCCTTAACATGTCTGATTCTTTTTGTCAACAGCCATGAATTATTCCCTGAGAAATCTACGAGAATGTGTCACACTGTTATAGAAAGTGAATCAGCCTTCTGATCTGAATCTGCACCTAAATGAATTTCCGCTGCCTTGGGTCATGTTCCACCCCTCTGCAAATTACCATCAGTTGAGAAGTCTTGGCGTAATCTTGATAACAAACAAACGCTGACAAAAACATAACCTCCTTGGTGTAAATAATGAATGGTGGCTGAATCTAGCTGCATCGGTAAAGTCTCACTGAAAAACTCTGATTAATGAACATCTATCTGACTCTGAGTACACAACAGTTTAATGTTTCACATGTGTAGAATCTATTTCAATTGTGCTGTGTCAGTACGATATCAGCATGTAGTACTGGACTGTTGTGTGTTAACACTAGGGTAGTAGCACAACATTCTGTTGATCTGTTCATAATAATGCTGTAAAAGATATTAAGTGTCCTAATGGCCTTTGATAATAACATTATAAATAAAGATAAGGGAATCTGAGCATGTTTCAATATTATTTTATTTAAGCATTGTGTCAACTGAACAAGGTGGAAGTGTTATATTTATTTTTAACAGTATAACATTGTTAATATAACAACGTTATTTGTGGTGACAGTCGGTTGGCATCCTAACACTACGACGGCTTGAGTAGACTGCATTGGACTCTTCCTCTTCCCACATTATAATGTTTTCACACAAAAGCATAAACTCAAAGTTTTACTCATGACGAGATTGAACCTCCAGTCCATTGAGTCCTTTGTGCTGATGGAGCTACTTGTCACTGCCTCCAGTCCCAGGATCACTGAAGAATGATCTGATGGAACCGGCGATGAATGTGCTGTACGGGATGCGGTCGTTCTTGTAGATGATGACAGTTTTGGTGTGAGCTGTCTCATACACAACTCGGTTTGGATCGTCCTCTTCTTTTTTTTCCTCTGAGGTGGAAGGAGGATATAAAGAGGGATTTGGTGATCAGTAGGTAAACTGGGTGTAGGGCATCATTTAACTAAATTACCAAAGTTATTCTACAGTACAGAGGTAATGTGAGCAAAATGTATTTCAAGTCAATTTTCCAAGATCCCCGACTTTCAGTCATTATTATTATAATCAGCTATTATTCTTGATGGATCACCATGGCAGCAGCATTCATAATCTTGTTAATATGGAGCTAACATTAACAACTAAATAATATATGTACTGTATAACAATGCATGGCGTTCTCAAAACAAAATTAAAGAGTTTCACAAATTAAAAACATCCAAGTAAAAACATATGAGGACTTAAAATCAGTCATATAAGAATAAAAGAGTAAAAACACTCAATGAGTGACAGGAGTTGAAGCATGACCACACATTACGATTAAAAAAACAAGAATGAGGTCAAATCAGGGAATGTGTTTGAAATAAAAAGATTGTTAGAGATGAACTAGTTTAAGTCAAACTCGTGTATCCTTACTGCAGAAAACGTGCATGTCTCATGGTGAAGAACAAAAAACTGTTGTCAGTGTGTCACAGAGAGAGACTGTGAACACCAGCCACTGACATTAGAATGGCAGTAAATCTACAAATATAATTAATCACCATTCACTGGCACTGTCATAAATATTCTCTTGCATAACTGGCTCTGTCTGTTTATACAGCTTATTATTGGATGTGTTCACACTGAGCACATTCACTGTACTGTACACTCTCTACTCTGATTGAATCCATATTATCCCTGTAGGTCACTGATCAGCCATGCAGCCTCTGTGATTGTATGTGTTAACACAACAGCAGAGAGAGAGAGAGAGAGAATGTGAAGGTCTCTCACCCAAAGTGACTTCTTTATGACCTGGGTATGTAAAAAACGCGTATGAACCGATCATGGTCCAGACACCGAAGGCGTAAACTGCTGCCGCTCGTGTGTGCCACTTCGACACGTTGTTCCACATCCTGGCTGCAGCGGCTCTGTGGAAAGTGTTGGTCTAAAGTCTGAGTGTTTTCTTTTCCTCCAGTCGGGTCACTCAGCACTGCGCCATGACAGAACCACCGGAAGTGTGAAACACAAGTTCCGGGGCGCGGCCAAGAAGATTTAAAGAAACATGACAAATATATGTGTTGTCAAGAAATGGAAAAAAAGAAAAAAAAATCTATCCATCTATCTATCTATCTATCTATCTATCTATCTATCTATCT